GAATCCCAGTCCACATGTCTGTTGTCCTGGTATCACAGGGAGGGAAGGGCTTTTTAAATCTAAAAACTGTACAAAGAGAAATGAACGATAGAGGTGGGTTAAATATTCAGTCAACAACAGTGTTAAGCCCATCTCGAAACCGACTTACAAAAGATAATTCAGATGCATGTGTGCAGCTAAAATAACCATCCTACAGCCCAGGCATAGCACTACTAATCCATGAGAGGGATCATTCTGAAACTGGAAGTTTACCATCCATTAATAAGTACGCATTACCAGTAAATATGAACATGTTGTGCGTGTGTGCCAGTAACCATAACAGTGAATTTAACTTGGCAACTGAACAATGCCAGTCACCGCTAGGGCAGAACAATTGTTTTCCACATGCCCTGTTCTTACCACAACGCAGGTGGGACAAGCGCCATTTTATTGCAGGGTATTGGAAAACATTGTAGTTGACCGTACTACTCTGCGGGGACCCAGGGCTGTATTTAATATTAATTGGGCCCTGGCCAAGATTTTGCTATGGGCCCCCACAACCTTCCTGCTTCCATCACCCGACCCCCTACTTCCTGACCCAGACCCCGGTATTCGCCTACATCACCTTCACCCTAAAAGAAATGTAAAAATGAAATAAGTGTGTGCCCTACAGATCTCTCCTCCAGGCAGCTACCTATACTAGCACCATGCCAGCAGTCCCCCGGCCCAGTCCACCCCTGCCACAAGCAGTGCCACTGCTCTCCTGCCTGCTGTGGGCGAAAGGGACAGCTGCTGTGGGCCTCTGTAAATTGTGGGGCCCAGGGCAGTTGCCCCTTTTGCCCTGCGGTAAAGGCGGCCTTGCGGGAACCTGAATGGAGTGTACAATTTCTGCACCTTAAATTAAGTTTAAAAAAAAGGAAACCATCCAATGCGCTGAGACAGCTGCCCGCCCACCCACCGGAGCTGTCCGAACATACTAGCCCATCTTCTTAAAAGCTTGCCTGGACTAGACTTTTCTTCAAAGATTGCTCAATAAATTCAATGACCCTGTATTGCTGTTAGAATCAGACCTTGTACACATGGGCAAATGAGGCTGTAGAACGTAAATTGCGTGCATATTTCCATGTCTGGTATACACAGCTGCAGCATACAGCCATCCATAGTAGTAAATGGGTGTAGAGAGTTGTATGCCAGTTTACACTGCTACTTATGTAGACATGCACGTGTGTTTGGGCGTACAACTCTGGATGCAGCTAGTCTGTATCCTGGGGAGTACAGCTTTATGGAAAGGCCTCAACATTATACATCTTTCAGACTTTGAACTTCATACTGACAACTAAAAAAGATTCTTTATTACACTCTTCATTTTTACTGACTGTCTCCTCATTGGGGAAACCCTAATTTTCTGTGTTGTTGTGTCCCGGGGACAGGGAGCTGTACCCCTTTATCACATGATACTGCGCAACCTTCTCACATGTGTATGGAAAGGTTTGCTCGCAGTAGGTGTATTACGGTGTATTTTCCAAAACTAAATGTCAAACTGCAAATCGCTTCTTTTAATGGGGCAGTTTGCAACAAGACGCTGTGTTGCAGGCTACTGGGAAAAAGTCCTGCATGCTACAATTTTGTGCAATGACCGCAATATGCATTTTAAGTAATTTCAAATGATTCCAGAAGCGGCTGATTTAAACATCTTCTGCCCAGTGTATAGCTGGGTGAAGGTTGCTCGCATGGCACTACCTCCCTAGATGGAGCCAAGGAGTAAAGAAGACTCCGGGCTCTTTAGCACCATCTGGTGGTGGTGGTGCCATACAAACAGCATACGCCCAGCTATACACTGGGCGGAAGATTTTTAAATCAGCCCCCATGTGTTAGACATTTATGTCTACACATCGATCAATGCTGTCTGGTGTTAACTAGCCCTTTGCATACGTTAATGCACACATGTTTATGCAGTGAGATGCATTGCATTAAAGTGCATCTGAAGCCCACACCTTCTTCAGTTTTGGATAGAGTGTAGGGGAATTAGAACTCCTGGCGAGTTTTTATTTCTGTCTGTATCCTCATTAGGGAGATTTACCCTATTTCTCCTGGTGACCATTATCACTGAAAGTGAAAGAAAATCCCAAATTTTGGTTTGCCACCAGAACAGGAATAGGTGTGAAATCTTCTAATAGGGACATTAGTTTTGGTGACTCCACTGACCACCAGGGATTTACTTCACTATGGAGGGATTTGCTCTTCTTGTTGTGGCTATTAAACAGGAAGTAAAGGGAAATCTCCCCAATGGGACACAGATGGCAAAAAGTTGACGGGTTATAACCCTCCCTTACTCTATCCAAAACTAAAAGAAAAAGTATCACTTGGTATATTCACAGACATCCCAACTCTCTCAGACACTCCGGGAGTCTCACTCTATTAGATAGCGGCTCCCGGCCGCCCGGGAGAGAAACATTTTCTCCCGGAAAGGTTTACTCTGCTATATCTAGCAGAGTAAACCTTTCCCTGCAATCTGTTTTGGGTTTGTTTTCTAAAATATTGAATATTTTGCATATTGAAATAGCTATTATGAATCTAGCTATGCATTCCTATGCTGTTTTTTTTGTTTTAATTATTATTATTATGACGGTAGCAGTTGTCAGAGTACTAAACATTTCAGGGGGGTGCTCTCTCCCCCTCCCCCATGGATAGGGGGGACAGAGAGCACCTCCCTGAAATGAGAAGGGCACCTCCCTGAAATTGCTTTTTTCAGGTTGGGATCCCTGTATTCATATCTGTGCATTGTGGTGTGATAGAGCATGTGTGTGTACATATGAGTTGGGGTGCCAGGGGGTAGGAAGGGCCTAGAGCCAGGGGCATCCCAAGGCCGGGTTTCACCCGGTCGTGTCGTCATTGCGTATGACGTTACCTCGCGTGTGCGCAATGACGTCATCGCACATGTGCGGCCATCTGATTGATGCCTGCCGGCGGCCATCTAGGTGATGGACGCCGGCAGAGAGAGGAGGGGACGTTCTCCCGGTGGGATGAGGTATGCCGCCGGGTCCCCTCCTCTCTCCTGACACTGTTGGGCTCTCGGTCCATAACCGAGTGCCCAACTTTTTAGAGGGGGTGACACCAAAATGACTGTCAGTCATTTTGGTGTCCCCCCTGCAATGGTGTCACCCGGGTGCGGGCCACACCCCCTGCACCCCCCTTGTGGCTCATGCCGTGGCCTGTGGCTGTTAGATTCTTGCAATACCGAACTGGATCTGTAGTTGCCGCACAACTGGAGGGCTGGAGTTTGCCTTCCCCTGCACTAGGGGATTTGCTTTTAAAATAACAATCTTGCACTATAGTTAGAACAGTGTTTTCTTTTTAATTTTTCCTAAAAAGAAAAAAGTGATAACCATACACAACCAGTTAGCTTTTTTTTATATAGCTACGCTGTACTACACTGAAATCCGGGTGCCATGTACGTGTTGTTATTACTGAATAATTGCTGTTTACTTTGCATCCTTTATTCAGTCTCCTAAGGCTCACTTCACTAACCTGTAGTGATCATTATTTTCTATGATGGCCATTATTTTCAGTCAATGAGAGCTCAGTACATGGGTACATTGTCCTAAATGCCGCTCATTGTGTTCTGAACATACAGTACAAAGCTTTAGGAACATACTGTGTATAAACTACTAATTTCTGGGAATTTCCAGTCCCCATCCGGCTGGTCAGGTTTGCAGAATTACAGCCTCGCCCATTCTATCACCACTCACTAGGCATACTCCTCAACCCTCTGTTCAGTATTTCAGTTATGTGCTCTTGTCAGTTTTTTCTTGGTATGTCTATAGAGACAATATTTCTCACGTGTCAGTGTCGCAAGTAGGTGCTCTTTGGTGCACCAGTCAGGACATTTATGGATTGGAATTTGCACTGTCATAGTGGCTTGAACTGGGAATTATGGATATGTGTGTTCGTTGAGGACATGAGCAGACACACCCAGAAACTACACCTGTCTGCTTGAATGACAAATAATATTTTGTTAAGGAGTATGAAAGGCTATTTGAATGTGAGGGAAATTCCCAGTTACTCTAAGAATCAAACTGGATCAAGACAGTCCATGGCAAGTGGATATTCTCACCAGAACACAAATGTGCTCCAAGCAATCCAATTAACTATTTATTGAATTAGTAAGGTGGGCCTTTGGACCCTCTAAAATGTTCACTTCCTGGTATCAACTGGGAAGCCCATACGTTACCTACCAACTTGTGAAGTAAAGGGAATTTCCCACACCTTGTAAAGGAATAGGTAAAATAAGGAACAAGTGTTCTTCCTTATTCGGTACTGTACTTACGGTACTTCCTTATTTCACCTGTTACCACAAAATTCTTAGTGTGTGCTGCTACTAACTAAAAGTGGGATCTCCACTAGATCCTGCTCAAAGTGTTTTTTTTAACTGGGGTTGAAGTCTCATTTTCCCCTTGTGACCTAGTAAAGGGCCCAAAGAACCAGACCCTTTACTAGATAGCCACACACGAGGAAGCCTGCCACTATTAGCCCAATGGAGCAATTCGGGGTCCAGTGACCTAAATTACTGGTGGGATCATTTTCTGAACTTTGCTCATCATCAACCAGCTAATGGCTATAAAGATGGCTACCTTTAGGCTTATTGAGATGCTAAAAAAGCAACAAAGATGTTCATAGTACAATGATCCATATTAACCAAACACGTTAATTGTGACGGAACCCCAGTACTCAGGATGAGTATGTCCGCCGCTGTATCCTTCCTTGCTGAGGAGATATTGCAACCTGAAGATGCTTAGCTCCCAGTTTCCCCAGTCACTGGTCGAGACTCAAGTGTAGGGTGAAACAAACTCTAATTTATTGAGCAACTGCACAAACCTTTATACAGCAAGTGATGAGATCAGATTATAATCCCATCACATCCACCCTGCCTTCCCCAGACAATCGGTCTGCTCAACACCACAGGGTTTCCCCTGCTAACGAGCTCCAGAGAGCCATAGCAAGAGCCTGTCAAGAATGTAATTGTTCTGAGCTCCTTCAGAGTACAATGGGAGATAACGAGGGGAGGGGTTCTGATCAGTGGCATAACCAGAGTTATGGGCGCCCTTGATCCAGCCAGCCCGGATCGCCGCTATGCAATCCGGGCTGGCTGGATCAGGCAGACGCGCCCTCTAATCAGGCACTGTAAAGGGCCGCCCGCAGTGGCCTTGGAGGAGCGAGCGGCCGTCCGATGACAGAGCCAGGTGCTTGTGGCAGAGAGATTGAGCCACTGCATCTGCGGCCAGGGGCTTCGTTTAGCGGGGGCCGGTGACGGCGCCCCCCTCAGCCATGCGCCCGGGGCAAGCGCACCCCCCGCCCCCCCAGTTGTTACGCCACTGGTGCTGATAAGTCTTTTCATAACCAGGTCACACAGCACAACGCACATAAACACCAATACACATTTAACTTATAAACTCATCACCATGTCGTCACATTAATTATCTGTCATTTCACAGTAGTCAGAAAAATGAAATGGGATTGCTGATTGGTTGTTGGTTGCATTTTGAACAAGCTTGACATCTTATAAAACATGCTTTCCCATTTTAGTGGTAAAGTGAAAATTAACACCCTTGCTTCTATGTTACTGATTGACAGAAATATCCTGCCCACAGTCCCCAGCAAACAGTTCTGCCACAACAAACAACATTCAGAGCTTCTTCAGAACTCTTAGACAAGCCCCAAAACTCAATGAGCCCAGATTGGTTCTGCCCAACACAACCACTCTATATTCAGTACCTATGGGCTTTCAAAAGTGGGATATGAACTGCTTAGCATAGCTAATAAAGAGGTGATTGGTGGGGGGTCTAAGCTAAGGAGGAGAAGTGTAGAGGTTCCAGCTTCCTGCTGGGCTGCTCTGGCCATTACAAGGAGGTCTCACTCCCTCTTTTACATTCTTTGTTAGTACAAAAAAACAGAAGAGGACGAGGAGAAGTCAGGGACACCAATGGAAAGATTTTGCCACTAAAGTTCAAGATATACAGTATTAGCAGCTAATTCAACCTAACAGTATGCACCAGTAAATGAAATGCTAGTCATGGGTTGAATTCCAAATTTGTTCATTAAAGTTACCCCCGTGTAATTTGTATACATTAAATGCAAATTACCTACCTCTGTCCTGAGGATGGTATGATACACCAGTACATTGCCTACAATCTTTCAGCACGTGTCAATAAATGGGACTTTGTCTGATCACACATTCCATTCCCATCTTGTACTAAAAAGCAATGACCCCCTTAGTGTAGTAAACATAAAAACAAGGTCAGCGATTCCATTTTCCAGCTAATTTCTCTTATACAGGAGAGGCAGTTAGCCAATAAGCAGAGAGGGGAAGATTTGGGGAAATCCTGTCTACAAAATGCTGGAAGGGAGATGCACTTGAATTTTGGTAGGTATAGAAATGGCCTCAGAACAAAAAGGAAAACACTTTTTCTATTAAAGTGTCTTTAGCTATGTCTTTGTGCCCCCATCCCTGCCTCAGGAGAATATACCTGGAAACCCCAGCCTCCTCCATCCCCTGCAATGCAAATATCACTGTCAAATGATTCCCAGATCAATAACACAGTACCTCGAGAAATATTCACTCTGCCCCATCCTTGTCTCAGCAAACTATACCTAAAAACTAATTTCCTCCAACCCCCCCACACCTATATTCCAAGCTCAGCACAACAGTACCACTAAAAATGTTCAATTTCCCCCATCCATGGCTAACAGAAAACTGTACTAGGATTCAGCAGTGTAGCCACCCTGGAGGTATCACTCCCGTTATTGACTAAGCAGTACCATTTCCCCAATACCCACCTCAGCAGTGGATTGTCCTTGAATGTATCACTCTCCACATCTGGACTGAGTTGCTCAGCGATACAATCCTTCCCTCCCAAAAGAAAGGGACTAAGGGTTCCTGCAGTCCTGCTATGATCATTATATGGAGTTCCCACTCTCCTTCTTGCCTTTTTATCTTATATTATGGATGATGCAACCGGAAAAGTTGGAACACACAAGAACAGAGTTTGGCATTATAGCAGGGAAAGCTTACTGTTGCAGTGTCCTTTACATACAAAAATATCCAAATGTCCTTAAAGTCCATAGCTGGCCAAAGAGTACCTTTGCAGTAGGGCTACCCCCCAAACTGCATGAGTTTATTTTTCATTGTTGTCTATGGGTTGGAGTAAAGCAGATTTATTTACATGAACCCTGATCCACCTGCAGTCAGCTCAATCATCTTCTCCCCCCTCCATCTATGGAACCTACATTAGACGTAATTATATCATTTGTCCTTAGACCACTGGAGCCCAGGGCAGAAGAGGCTGCGTGGACCGATCTAGTAGACCAGAGGGTGCTGGCGGGAGCATGGATCAGGTAAGTAAATCGGCTTTATGCCAACCCCTAGCCATTAACGAGCACTTAACCCTTGTAGTACAGTGCTAGCCCCACTGCAAGGGTACTTTTTTGTTTACCTAGAGATAGACTTTAATAACCTAGGTGCACTTGAGATCCAGTGACAGAAGAAAGATTACGATTTTGCTTGGGGATCATAACAAAGGCTAATTATATACTACATAGCAAGAAATTAAGATATCTCTATTAAACTCAAAGAAGAATCATTCTTACTGCCCATAGCAACCGGACTCAGTTTTATTTATTTAGTATGATTGCTATTGGAAACAGGAACTGTTCACCCATTTCATAACTTAAGTCCTGTATATAACTTAAGTCCTGTATATTGCTTGCAATGTCCCACCCATTATGATGAAGACATGTCATAATTCTGACTCGTGAATGAGCAGAAACCCGGAGTAGCCAATTAGGTTTTAGCAGTCGTATTAAAATACTATGTATAATACTACATAATATAACACTGCTTACAGCTGGCGTGGGTTATGACACTACATTGATCTCTTGTAAAGTGGGCAAGCCCCATCTTGTTTTTCATTATTTTACTATAGATTTAAAAGCATACGCCTGCCACAAGAAGAAAAAAAAAGAAGGACATGGAAAATAGTTTTCATTTTCTTTAATAAATATATTGCCTTCATATAAAAATAAATTATGTACATTGTTTACAATATATACATTGTGCAGTTTATTTTTCTGATCACATTCGTTCTATATTGAGAATATTAGTAGTCAAATTCTCATCAGAGTATCTTCAGCAACATATTTATGCATTTGCCCGCTACTGCTCTGGTGTCAGACAGCTTCACCCCTACGTGTTATAAAGAATCAGTATCTAGTTTTTCTCCAGTATTTTAGCTCCAATGTACAGTCTAATCTGAGAGAGACATGATTCAGGTGACAGGTCTTCATCCTCAGAGTTCATTGTCGTTTTCTAGAATCCTCTCCACGTCTCGGCTCTTCTCACATGATGGTCTTGGGTCAGCACAAGCACCGTATCAGCCTCTAGAACTCTACATTGGATCGGTTGCATCCCTTGAGGTCTAGTTAAAGGATTCACTGGTCCTAATGCTGTATTCTCTTGTACAAGACAAGATTTGCCCTGGTACAACTCTAAAGTCCTCATATGCTACGCCACTCTAATTCAGCCCTTGGCACATCAACTTGCAGTCATCATACATATACTGGAAAAGAAGAATAATACCACAAAATTAGATTACATTGAAGACTGGAACAAAAATATTTATCAATAGTTGTCAAAATGTCGACACTGGCATAAGACTATGTGATGGTGCCCTATACTGGCATAAGGATATGACTATTGTGTGATGGAGCCCCATACTGGCATGAGGTTATGACTATGTGATGGAGCCCTATAACAAAACAGAGATTTCCATCATCTCTAACTCAACGGCAATTTAACTAGAGATAAAGGATATTATTTCTATAGTTCCCTTATTATAAATACGTTGATTTAATTGACATTTGATTCTAAAATGCTATTGCTACCTGCTTAAACCACAGCGTAGTCATCACAGTCAGACAGTTCTGGGTCCCCTATGCATGTGGGCCTCATAGAGGTCACATGGCCTGCCATAGCTATTTTCATTCTTTTGGCAATTGGGCCTATATTGTGTGTGCCCTGAGAGGAACATGTGATTCAGCAGTGCAGAAACATGATTTGTGTAGTAGGGTAGAAACTACTCTCAATGTACACTGATAGAATCTCTGTCCTCAGACCTTTGCCAACAGATTGCTACAGTGGCTCCATACTGCAAGAGCTGCAAATAATATTCCCCTAAGCTAAAGCATGCCTAATGTCCCAAGCTATCATGACAATGACCCGTTTGCAGCTCAACCAATACAATCTATAAAATATACTGGAGTTATTGGCTCTTGTAAATAGATTTCAATAATCACCTCATCATCTGAATGCTCTGATTCGGAGTCAGAACTATCCTCATCCTCGCTCTCTGGCAGGTACTGCAAGCTCTTCTCGGTCAGAGACAGCAGATGCTGCTGGATTTTACTGTTACTCCTTCCCCAGGTAAGTTGGCATGGTGAATAGCCTTGGTATGTTACTTGGTTCACATCAGCTCCGTGTTTGAGCAACAAAAACATCAAGTCTGGGTTCTGTTTATCCACAGCCATGTGGAGAGCTGTCCGCCCATTACAAGGCTCCTGTAATGATTTAAAAAAAACGATGCTTAGTTAAAAAGGCCGACACTCCATTACAGGTCACTGTGACATTACTTAAGCAACCAGGTAAGTTGCCAAACTGATTAAAAAAAAACAAACACCTTACCTGAGCATTAATATCTGCTCCCAGACGGATCAAGTCTTCCACAATGGCAAGAAAACCGTTATTGGATGCCAGATGCAGACATGAATGACCTGTAGAAACAGAGCAATGATTAATATTCAGATACCCAGTACAGAAAACGAATTATATATATTTTTTTTTTTTATTTGCTTAATCTGCTTGCTAGTTCTATTGAGATTAATGGAATGTGATGCATACCATCATAATTTGAGCAGTTCAGAAGGGAGGGCAGATGGGATGTGCTGCATTGCACTATGACGCCAACTCCGCGCATGGATCCCCGCTCACAGGCGATGTGTAGGGCGGTATTTCCACGGTAATCTCTGATTTCTGGGTCACATCCAGCCTTCAGAAGCTTCTCAGCAATTTCAGCTTGTTCTGTGATTATAGCCAGGTGAAGTGGTGTCTGCAAACAAAATAATAACATTAATGACAATATTCTATAGAGATCATTGTGCCAAATTAAAAGCTAGGCCAAACTTTTTTCGCTTTAAGTGTGTAGAATGATAAGAGGCTTCCATTGCTGACCTTGACTGCCTGGCTATCACTGGTCCAGTGGCTTCAGAACTCGAGTCACTGTACAAGGCAGCAAAGTACTGAAGCCAGGGACAGACAGGTAACTAACATTTTCTGATGGTCAGCATATTTCAGGTAGAAGTCACATACATATTATATATGGACTTGTAAGAAAGGTATAAGTGTATAAGCTGGAAACCCTTCTCTAGTCGGCCATGTATAAGAAAATAGAATTCAGGAGCTGTATTTACCTGCTGAAGGTTATTTTGGCGGTTCAGGTAAAATCCATCCCTGTATGATCTCTTGATTGCCTCTTCTGCAAGTTCTTTGGCCTCATGGATGACTGCCAAGTGGAGAAGCCTGTAACATAAAACAAAAAAGGAAAAGGTTTAATGTCATGAATAAAACTTATAACACAAACGTTCTACAGTCAATCAATTGTAACGTCTAAAAAAAAAAAAATTGTCACAATATAAAAAATAAAATAAAACAATAACGTTGAGGTCAACTCCAAACCGACTTTTTAATAAGGATTCTAAACTGCTCACATTTAAAAGGTAAACTAAAAAAGGAAATATTGTGTCACCTATTTCCTCCCCGTCCATTTGGCAATTACTGTGTAGGCATTTCGGTGTCAGCTCTGAGTTATTTCCCCTCCCCCAGCGCAGTCCAGGATTGTGTAAGCTGGGTTTTTCTGCTGTCTCTAGATCTGCCTGTTGTTTTCCGCTTTCTCATGTATGCAGTTGTATTTCTGGCCAGTGGCCAGGGACTTTCCAAAGACCTGAGCTCTGCCCTTACTGGCTGCCCCACCTCTGACAGCCAGCCAATGGCAGGAGGGTACACTAAGAGCCCACCCCTCCCCCCTCCAGCATACAAAGAGAGGAAGGGAAAACCCAGACAAACATGGCGTCAGCACTAAAAAAAAAACTCCTGCAAACTGTGCAATTTCTAAATACATCAAATTGTGAGATACCGATCCAATGTTATCGCCCAGATCATCTGACCCATGAAAATATTTCCCATAGCAGTTCCAGAAATGAATGCTTCGAGATTTAAAGAACTATTTGTCTGCAGCATTCAGCTCTGGCTCTGCTATGGAAGATACAAATGACATGTTTTTCAAGTCATATTTCTGAATTGGTTCAGATGATCTAACAATATTTTGTATTTACAGATTGCACTGTATATTTTTTATAGCAGATCCAAATACTACAATATTTGTATGCAATGCATCGTGTCTATAAAGCAGATTGCATCGTGTCTAGCCACACACTGCAGGTGAGATCAGCCCGCATATTGTGCATGGTTGTATTTATGTATCGGTGCATGGTTGTATTTATGTATCGGTGCCCCTGCATCCTCCTGCCAGGGAATAGTGGATGCACTATTATCACGTTGCGATCACACAGAATACTCGGCACACTTACGTATCTCCATCCTCATTAGCCTGAATCTTCCATGGCTCCGGCTCGTAGTCTGCTGGGGCGGACGGTGTCGGAATACACATGTTCTCCACGCCATTGACGATACTGTTATAATCTTCTTCTTTCAGAGAGTCCAGGCCGCTGTCAGTGCGATCCTCGGTGTTCTGGAAGTGTTTGTCTTTGCCAGGCATCCTTAGATCTCCATCCACCCCCATATTCCCAGAGTAATCCATATAGCGAGCAGACATGGTGATCCTTCGGCAGAAAGTTCCTTTCCAAAAAACTGCAAATGGCTTGAAATGGGTGCCGGGGAGAGAAGGGCACAGGGAGGCTCCGGGTGTAATGAACAAGACACAGAGATAATCCAGTAGTTGTCTCCTGAGCGGTGTACGGCGATGTGTGAGCTCTGAGGGCTGAGCCGTCCCTCTTCAACACAGACTGGGGAATTTTCCGTGGGCGGGGCCTCTGCAATAATCTGTATACCGTGTGCTCAGGGCTGGGAAATTCCAAGCCAAGTCACCCAGCGAGTTCAGCAAACCAGACACAGCCTGTTCTGGGGCTTCACAAGAAGGAAAACTTCCAGAGCTGTACACAGGCCACAGAAATTCCCTTCTGGACGGAATGTTCGCTATTTCTCAAACACAAAGCACTCAAATCTTAGCTCTTCTACACAATGACATGAGGCATATTCATCATATAGCTTATGTCTTTTCACAGTGAGAGATAGATAGATAGATAGATAGATAGATAGATAGATAGATACATAGATACATAGATACTAGTATAGATAGATAGATAGATACTAGTATAGATAGATAGATAGATAGATACTATAGATAGATAGATAGATAGATACTATAGATAGATAGATACTATAGATAGATACTATAGATAGATAGATACTATTGATAGATAGATACTATAGATAGATACTATAGATAGATAGATACTATAGATAGATACTATAGATAGATAGATACTATTGATAGATAGATAGATAGATAGATAGATAGATAGATAGATACGATAGATAGATACTATAGATAGATAGATAGATACAATAAATAGATAGATACAACAGATAGAGTGAGTGCTCAACTGCAGCCAAATATTTTCTGTAAAAAGAGGGAACTTTTACATACATCATCTATAACTTACTTTATATGAGGGTAGGGGTTGAGTTTTGTATTGCCCTGTGTCCCTATTGGGGAGGTTGTCCCTCACTTCAGGGCTCATTCATATGGGGGCAAATACAGGCACATGAGCATAAAACGTGAAATATGCCTCTGTATTTGCAGCACCCGGGAGTCCCAGCTGTTACATTGCATCGGATTGTATGGGCTCAATGCGCTGGACACGGGTATACACATGTAAATGCAAGCATCATCCTTTACACATGTATGGGTGTAAGTTCACAAACACAGAAATTTGGCGTTCAGGAATTGGGTTCATACGCATGCACATGTAAACAGTCTCTCTGCAAAGGCATTCTGCTCTCTGTGTCTGCTGCAGCATTTGTCCCTTGCTGTCCCTAAGGCCCCATTCACACTAAGCGGATTGCCGCGCGATTTTCGCCGCGGCGCGCATTTTTGCAGCGTGATATCGCAAGAAGTCGCCGGCCAATGATTTTCAATGGAGCTGTCTTAATGTACAGCTCCATGTCGCCCGTCCAAGTCGCTCCTACAGGACCCTTTTTAGGCAGATTTTGCGTGATTTTTCAATTTATTTAATGCAGCCCGACGGCGAATGCCGCGCTACCGTCACTGGACCCTCGCTGGAACGTCGCCCTGAAAGTCGAGCTATCCCGGCCACGTGGAACCGCTCCAAAAGGCCCAAGGCCCCATTTACACTTGCTAAGGCCCCATTTACACTTGCGTTATTGCAAATTGCGCAATTTCTGCCGTGCTATCGCGCATGTTTGCCGCGCGATATGTCGAGAAGTCGCTGTCCAATGATTTTCAGTGGAGCTGTTCTATTGTACAGCTCCAAGTCGCCTGTCGCTCGTCGCTGTCGCGCATCGCTTGTGCAGGACCCTTTTTCCCGCGCTTGCTGCGCTTTTTTCTATTTTTGCATGCAGCCCGACGGTGAAGGTCGCGCAATCGTCCCCGGAACGTCGCCCAAACAGTCGCGCTATCCCGACCACGCGGATCCGCTCAAGGTAAGTGTCGCTTAGTGTGAATGGGGCCTAAGGGTCTGGTCACACCTGTACATTGTGGTTACGCATTGTAAAACGCTTGTTTTTACCATGCATTCCTTGCAGTCACGCGGCAACGCATGTACCATGGTGCATTGTGCAGTTATTCATTTTGAATGGCGCCTCAATCAGGGCCATCCCTACCCTTTATGCCGCCTGGGGCAGCAGAATAGGGGGGTGTTCTGTAGCGGCAGGCGCTGCTGTTAGTGCTAGGAGGGTGCTTTGCGGCAGATAAAGTGGAACAGTGGCAGCTGTGTCAGGGCTTATTCACACCAAATGCAAAGCAGATCTGCTCGCATTTCTGCACACACACAAATAAGCGTTTTGGCGCATTTTTGACGTGTTTCGGTGTGGTTTTTTTAAGCCCCTGAAATGGGCTTTCAGTGTGTTCCAGGGTGTTTCCATGCGTTGTTGATGTGTTTGCATGAGTTCCAGAGCAGGAAAAATAACGCTTGCTGCAGTTTTTCCACATTCTCTGGAACTGAACTAGAGCCCAAAATACCATTGGAATACATTGGATGCGTTTTTGATGCGTTCTGTAACTGCTCTGCTCTGCATCTGGAAGGCATTTGGTGTGAACAAGCCCTTAGATAGACAGAGAGCCATGCTCTCATCTGCTGTCTGTCCGGCCCCGCCCAGTTCAATTACATCACTGGTTGCCAGGAGCTCGGCGGGACGCCAGCCACAGCATCCCACTCAGCTCCCTGGCAACTGACGACGTCAGTGAGCTGGGCGGAACCGAATAGAGTGTCACACATTGGTAAGTGCTCTTAGCATCCTGGGACACTGTGGCCACCCCTCTGCTGCCCCCCCCCCCCCCCACACACACACACACACACATACAAAACTGCCTGCTACCCCTACCCACCTCCACTAATGAGATCATGTCTGCGGTGACCGCCTCAGTTTGCCTCATTATAGGGATGACCCTAACCTCAATGCACTAGCACCAGCAATCCACAGCGCACATGCATTATAACGCACCATAGCGCACAGATGTGAAAGACTGCAAACAAATGAAGAAAATAGTTTCATGTTGTGTTGTGATTCATACCAACGCCCTTAGTTGAGGTGTAGTGCAACTGGTCATTGACACCAACAAAAACTGAACTTATGGTCACATGACCATTGGGATCGTATGTAAAAAAGCTTTACAGAGCTTGTTCACAATCAATAGAAGAATATATTAAGGTATAAGCTGAGTATGAATGGCCCCTGATCCCTGTTATCCAAATCAGGTAAAACTGCAGTGAGCCTTGAGGGGACACAGCGACCCCCTGAAATAATTCCCCTTCAAGATCACTTGTGTGTGAGACCTAAAAATATTCATATCAGTTTTGTGTCACTGAATTTCCTTTCCTCTCTCTGTCTCTCCTTTCCACTTTACTTATCTAAGTTTCCTTCTATCTGTCACGCAGCAACAATCAGACTTTTACAAATTTGTTCTTGCTGACACGCCAATGTAAGATAATTTCTGACTGCTTGCTATGGATACATGCAGCCCATTGCTATTTGCACATTATTAAAGGAACACTCCGTCATCATAGAAATAAAATAGAACTGCTATCAAAACCTTTTTTCCTTTGGATAGAAAAGGGGAGGATTAGACCATCTCTCAGGTTTTCATCACTGCATGGGTCCCTCCTGGGTCATTTTCAGTGAATTTGGGGTATGCCACTTCCCTATTCTATAAAAGCATTACAAAAAAAATGGCTTTACCTTCATGACATAATGCCCCAAGAGGTGAACTACAAACAGTTCAGGATTTGCATCCATTACAATGCCCTCATTTTATCTTTGTGAATAATTGGCAAAACAGTGACGGGACCTGGTTTTTGGGCTGCCTAAGAAGGAGGTACACATGGGCAGACAGGAAAAGCCCACATGATGGAAACAGTAAAATATTGCTACGAGGTCCTCCTACACCCTCCTCATAAAAATACCTTTCATTCATACCAAGCTTTCGGGCATTTTTGGTAAAATACTGTGATTAGATTTGATACGGTAGTAATACTGCTATGATTGATTCATGTGCTGTGTATTTACTGATGACTAAAGCTTTAGTAGGTGCAACACCATGAAAAATGAAGGCTTTTTCTGGGGAAGAAAATCCTATGTAGCAGCTCATTATCAGGAAATACCCTTCATTCACCCAAGAGAATGTTTTAAACCAAAACGGGATTTGAGGTATGGCCAGCTGGCTTAGAAGGGCCAATAAGGAAGCTTTTAGTTAAGCCAGCCCACTCATTATAAAGAATGGAAGAGGGGGACAGAGCAGCCATAGAGTCAGTTAATTAAAAGCTGACAAAATGCATAGGAGATTAGGGTCAGGTAGGAAACTGTACCTTAATTCTGATTGCTAGCTCTTTGGACATTCAACCCCTTTGCTGCCTTTCTTTGTTCTTTTTATTTGGGGGAAGAGTGTTGTCTTGGATTTTTTTTGTGGTTGAAGGCAGACTCCCAGCTATTGCACCCAAAAGTCCCTTTATATAAGTAAGGTAGAGTTTTGGCATTACACTGGAAGTGATTCGGGTGGCTGTGAAGCCACCTAATCACTTCCAAGGGCCCTGGCATGTGTGCCCACACCTGACACCGCCCACCGTCTTTCCTGGGCTCCTCTGACCCTCCTGTGAGCCTGGAGTCAGCTTTGCAAAGGTTGTCAGAGAGAGACCAACCCTCGATCACAAAGGAGATGGTGGAGCAGAGTGGGGGGAGGGGATCTCCTCCCTGCTGAATGAACCCAGAAGCGATGATGATTTTGTCACGTCCGGGTTCTCAGCTGTCATTCCTCGGCCAGAGAGGCTGAGGAAGAATCTGATCAAGCACAATCTGTGCTTGATCAGCTTTAGTGTGCTGCAAAGGTAACATTAGGGAAATATTAGACCCCTAATGTCTCCTTTAAGAGAACTTGTCACCACTAAATTTCTATCAAATAAGGGGCTTGTGTGCCCCCTATGTGATAGCAATAAAGTTAGGTAAAAAAGTTTAAAAAAAGTTAAAGTTAAAAAATATAATAATACCTTAAATTTATTTTTAAAGTCCCCTGCCCCCGCATACAT